GCATAACGAATTGCCTCCGGCGTACCAAACGACGGCAGCCCCGGCGGCGTGGCCGGCCTCATCGGCGGTGGATATCTCGGCTGCACCGGGCTCACAGGAGACTCTATATTCCCCGGCCACTTCGACAGCCGAGCAGTGGATACAGTATCATCGAGACTCACAGCCTTCTGGCCCTGGCGTCGACTAGAGAATGTTGTGCGCGACAACTCATCCGGCAACGAGACCCCATCGTCTTTCTCACTGTCCGTGGAGCACGGAGCATGATCATCCGACCCGAACAGCGACTGCCACCAGGGATTTTTGCTCTTCTGGGCTGCGCCGGGGTCAGAGCCGTGCTGGGCTAGATGGGATGCAGGCTCCGACGTGCGAGACAGGAACATCGCCATGTTGGCGGCTCCTCGGGCGTCCAGGCCGTTTTTCACTGTGCTGCCCAGCTCCGAATGGTGGGGATTGCCTTCGATGCCAGAGTTTGTTCGCGCGGCATTGTAGATCGAGGTCTCGTCGGTGGGACACGACAGCGAGTATTCCTGGTTGGTTTCTGGGTTGGCATCTTCGTTGGGGCGGTGGCTTTCGAAAACCACGATGGTTTCACTGAATTCTGACGGCAGTGGTGTAGACTGACATGAGAACATGCTGCCAAGGGTTGAGACCATGAAAGATCTACAACTCGTGCTCGGAGAGACAGGGCAGAGGCCGGGATGTTGGGGGATCTCCGGGCACTCACCGGTGTGATTTGAATATCAATCTCCGACCAAATGGGGCGTGTACCAGTGCATCGCACTTTCCTGGGGTGAGGGAACAACTACCATCGGAAGGCGCAGAGAGCTCCGTAACAAGTAAGGTAGACAGGGAAACCGAAAAATCATAAGAGATCAAGAAGGAACAAGAATATTATAATACGAAATCATCTAAGGCTTATATACACCCAATCAATCAGCAACTGAGAGGGGGAATCAAATAGGTAAAGTAAATGGTAGAAACATAGAGCATGTGACAATCAGGCATTAATATGTGCGGAGAATGGATATCATAGAAGAGAATTAACAGTGGGGTAACCGAGAAGGGTGACATGTAACGAGGACGGAAAGGGGGATATCATGATGCTCATGTCGCGACGCCTGGGGTGGAGGTGGGACTGTTCGCAGCAGCGGCAGCCGCGTTGGCCTGCTCCTTCTTCAAGGTTCGGATCAGGTTTTCGAGCCTGCGGCGTTCTTCCTGTTCGGCCTAAACGGGGGATCAGTATGGCTGGAGAGGGAATTTTGGGTCGTTATAAGAAATTACCTTGAGGATCCTCATGTTCTCAATCCGGGTATCACGCATCATCTTCTTGAATTCGTTCTTGAGCACCATGGTCGACGTGGTCTCCGACGTGGTCCCGTCGCGCGACATGGGCGCGTGGTGGATGCCCATCCATTGGATCCGTTCTTCGTTGATCTGGGTCTCCAGCTGCTCGCAGCGGTCCCGGAGGGCATCAATCACCCCTTCGAACCGCTCCCGCTCCTTCTCAAACTCGATGCTAGCCTTGGTCATGCTTTCGTAGTCGTCGACGGTCTCGCGAAGCTCCTTCTCCAGCATCTGGACCCGCTTGTCGGGAGAACCGCCCGGTTTCCCGGCCTTGAGGCCCGCGAGTTCTTCCATGAGCTCCAGATTCCGGGTGTTCAGCGCGTCGATCTCCTCCTGGATCGCCGAGTTGGCCGCCGCGGCGGCCCGCTCGGACCGGGAACCATAGGCACCGTCCAGCTCGGCCTTGGCCATGGTCAGCTCCGTCTGGAGGCGGGCGACCTCGCCCTCCATCTGCGTCAGTTCGGTCTGCAGGCGGGTGGCGTCCGCCTCGGCGCGGGTGTGGCTGTCGGTGGCTTCTTGGAGCTGGGATTGGATGTCCGACCGCAGTTGTTCCATGGAGGCCTGCAGCTGGGTGACTTCGCTCTCGGCTTGGGCGTGCTTCTCCATCGACTCGCGGACGCGGGCGTCCGATTCGGAGCGGACCTGCTGCATGGCGGCCTCGAGTTCCGCCATCTGCTGCTCCGAGCGCTCGCGTGCCTCGGCGGCCTCTTCCGCCCGGGCATCGGCCTCGCCGTGGAGCTGGTCGATGACGCCTTGCAGACGCTGAATCTCGCCGTCGGCGTGCGCGCGCACCGCGGCGAGTTCCTCGGGGTCGCTCGTCGGTTTGGATCGAAGCGCCTCCAGCTCCGACTCCAGACGAGCCACCTCACTCTCGGCGCGCAGACGGGCCTCGTGGACCTCGGCCTGGGCCGCGCGGTCGCGCTCCAGCTCCTGTACGGTGGCCTGCAGGCGGACCAGTTCCGCTTCGGCCTGCGCACGGGCGTCCTTCTCGGTGGACAGGGCACCGGCGTCCTCGGCGGGCACGCTGCGTTGTTGGTGGTCGGACAGCTCGCGGCGGACGGCCTCCAGCTGGCCCACGACCAGGCCCATCTCGTCTTGGGACCGCTGGTGGTCACGCTCCGCGCTTTCGAGGTCCTTGCGAACGTGCGCCAGCTGCTCGACCAGGTCGCCGATATGGGCGTCTCGCTCGGCGTCGGACTTGGAGTTGAGTTCGCGCTGCTGCTGGATCTGGGTGGTCAAGATGCTCTTCTGGTCCAACAGCCCCTCGATGCGGCGCTGAAGCCCGTCCAGTCCGGTTCCCAGGTAGGCCAGTTGCTCCGACGCGCCGCCGCCGTCGGCCGCTTCCGGCGGCGGGGGAAGGGTCTGGGAATGCGGCAGACCCGATTGAGCCACGATGTCGAAGATGCGCGCGTTGAGGTCCCCGAGCTGGGCGATGGACGGACCATCGTCCCCGCCCCGGGTCGGCGTGGCGTCTGGGGGCGGGTGGGCATGGATCATCTCCAGCGCGCTGGTGATGTAGGCCAAGTGGGCCTCGAGACCGGCCGTCGGATCCGTTGGGCTGCCCCGGTGCGCGGGGAGGGGGGCCGCGTGGAACTCACTGTCCGGGTTGGACCGGGCGACCTGGTCGCGCACCCGCGCGCTGAGCTCCTCGAGCCGTCGCTCCATGCTCTGCACGGCGTCCAGGCCGAGCGCGCTGGGCGCGCTGGGCGTGCTGGGATCCGCGGGGACGGGCGGCGCCCGACCCCCAAAGCCGAATTCGTCGCCGGGGTCAAAGGGGCGGTACAGACTGCGGTCGTCGAACTCGTCTACGCTGCCCTGGGTGTTGTGGCTCGAGAGGCTCTCCGGGGTGTGGGGGATGTTGTTCTTGGGGTTCTTCTTCAGGCCCTTGTGGGTCAGCTGCAGCACGCCGGCGGTGTGTTCGAGCAAGCGGCGGTGGATGGTTGCGACGCGGCCCTCGACGCTCCAGATCTCGTGGGCCAGCTCGTCGCATTTGCGCGAGCTCACGGCCAGCTCCTCGTCGGCCTTGTCCTGGGAGCCAGGCGCACGACCGAAGATGCTTCCGCTTCGACGATGAGACTTGGGCGAACCGCCCGCGGGGTACTCCTGACTGCCCCTGGGACTCTTGGCGCCGTATAGCCGGTTGAGGGAGGAGGCGGCATCGCGCAGTTTCATCTCCAGCGCCAACTTCCGCTTCGCGCCATCCATGCGACCGGCGAGAAACTTGTGCTCTTTCTTCAGCGACTCGACCTCCTCGAGGGACAGGATCTCGTAGTGGGCACTGTCGCCCATGGCGGTCTCGGTGAGTAAGTACATGGTGACGGGATCGTTGGCGTTCAGAAGGGCGGAACTGCGCGGGTGCGTCGGATTCAACTGGTCGGGGTTAGCGATTCGCGGGGGGGACAATCATTGGGGGGACGACTTACCGGATTATATCGCGGCGAATCCCCTTGAAGCGCATCGACATTATTTTGGTAGCCATCGAGCAGAACCTTGGACGGGGGCGGCTGCGGAGGACCCACGGAGGTCGCAGAGTAACGGCGGGGGTCGCCATAGGAGGACTGGCTGGTTCGGAAGTCGAATCCGTTCATGGTGAAGACTCAGGAGGGAGAGAGAGAGAGAGAAAGAGAAAGGAAAGGGACCGGAACGAGAAAAAGACAGGGACGCGATGGAAGGCCGGTCGACAGACCAGCGAAGCGAACGAGTCAGGGGGGAGGGAATCGATCAACGCCGGGGGGAGGCAGTCTCCATGATTCTGTGTTTACATGAACCAGATCGGGGGGGGGGAAAGCGAGCCGCCAAGTAAGGAGAGAGGAATCCGGTTGATGGAAAGTTGGAGAGTAGGCAGAGTGAGAGTCGGGAGAGTCGAGTAGATGGAGAGAGTCGTGTCTATCCAAGCGATGGAACTGGAGTGGATTCGAACCAACGAGTGAACTCCGAGGAGTGGAGAAAAGAACGGGGGATGGAGAGGGAGAAAGGAAGAAAGAGAAAAGAGAGAGAGAAAGAAAGAGACTAAGAGTGAAGGGAAATGAGGATCACGAGATGATCTGCGAATGGCTGAGTCGGCGCCCCATCACGAACACTTCTCTCTCTCTCTCTCTTTCTCTACCGAGTATATACTCCATAGTATGTATCTTGTAGGATCTTTCCCTTTGGATGATGGATCCCATCTGATGAGATTTCTCCGAATGGTTCCTGATCGATCGAGTGACATGCAAGGCGTGGTTGGATGGATCCGGATCAAGTCCTGGTTCAGGAACCAACCACCGATCTTCTCCACGGTCGCATGTGGACGGTCATGAAGTGGAGTCGTCTTTCCACAGGTAAGGATAGAATGGTAGAATGATAATGACAGATTCCTGAAGGTTGAAGTCATCCCTGGATACCAATCCCACAGTGGGCCATATGCATGACACTTGACGGGGACTCAAGTCTTTATATCCTGATCTCTTATACTAAATATTAGATTCTGTCAGATTAATATCGAGACGGATAGAGACAGCTCACCTATCTTGATTGGCCATCGTTCTTTACATTCATCTCCAATAGATTACAGGACTGATCATGATGCATTCTTGAAATGAATCTGATAGATTAATTCTGTATTATTCAGAATACAAGACCCTGAATGTGATTCAGCAATGAAATGACGTCAAGTCGGCCGGATGGATTAGTTGGTCATATCGTTTGCTTAACACGCACAAGGTCCTGGGTTCGAGCCCCAGTCTGGTCATTTCTTTTTATTTTTTTTATTATTCAATTCTATATCTATGATTTTTATATATATATATATATATATATATATATAACCATATATTTTTCTATACAGAGTATATATCATCTATATCATAAAGTCTATTCATGTATCCCTGCTTTATGTTGTTTGATTTGTACTATGTTCCACTGCATCCTTCACATGGTCGAGTCCTGCCAATCCGGCTTCCCATGGTTGACTCCGCTCTCCTCTCTCCACAATTCCATGATGAAAGAATCTTCAGAGAGTAGTATCCAGTGGAGGAAGGTGACAGTTGAGGGACCTGGATCCCCACAGCTGATCAACCTCTTCCCCTCTTTTCTGCTGGTCTTTGCCTCGGTCATGCTTCCCCATCCATTCTACTGGAGGATTCCCCGTTGCGGTCGGCAGGATTTGTGCCAGGATACTCACAAGCTAATCAAATCCATGGCTGCTTCGGTTCTAGTTTCGGACCCCCCAGTAATTGAAAACGAATCAATTCCCCGTCTTATAACTCTCCTATCGAAGCCTCGACGGGGCTCATTCGTGGACTGAGGTGCCCAAGCGACACCGCTAACGGGGTCGCTAACAGGAACCAAGCTATCATTTATCTCCTGGATAACCTCCTTTGAATCATTCCAGTCCGGGCTCAATCCTCTGTAGTTCCATACTGGGCTCATGCTCGTGTTGGTCCTAGTCCCACATCATGGCCTTCTTCCGTTCATCGCCCCGGAGTGCTGAAGAACCCGCCCCGGATCTGCCGCCCACCGGGCCCGTCTATAGGGTCTACAAGCGCCGCTTCGTGGGGCTCGCCCAGCTGGTTTTGTTGAATGTGATCGTGAGCTGGGATGTATGAACCCTCCCTCTCCTCCCACGAGAATGCGCACGAGACGCGAGACTGATGATTGTCTGCAGTGGTTGACCTTCTCCTCCATCTCGACGACCGCGGCGGAACATTTCGGCGTCTCGGAGAGTGCGATCAACTGGATGAGCACGGGCTATCTCTTTGCCTTTTGCGTCGCCAGTCCGTGAGTACCTTCCCGCCGTCCTGGTTGTTCAAGTCTACTCACGATCAGATCAGCGTCGTCATCGTCACGCTCAACAAAGGCGGCCCCAAGCCCGCCATCATCACCACCTCCTCGCTCCTCCTCGTCGGCAACTGGATCCGATATGCTGGCACGCGCGCCCGCGGCGGCATCTTTGGCGTCGCCATGTTCGGCCAGATCCTCATCGGCCTGGCGCAACCATTCTGCCTGAGTGCGCCCACCCGCTACAGCGACCTCTGGTTCTCCGACAAGGGTCGCACCAGCGCGACGGCCCTCGCGACCCTCGCCAATCCACTGGGCGCGGCACTGGGCCAGCTGATCGACTCGTTCTGGGCGACCAAGCCCAGCGAGGTGCCAGACATGGTGCTATGGCTGTCGGTAATGGTAAGCACCCAGCGCGAGGAACAGCAGTACCAGGGGTCTAACAAGAAACCCAACAGGCTACCGTCGCAGCAATCCCCTCGCTCTTTCTCCCATCGCAACCGCCCACCCCGCCCAGCGCATCCGCCTCGGCAGCCAAGACGCCCCTTCTCCCCGCGGTGACCCAGCTCCTCAAGACCCTCGAGTTCTGGCTCCTCCTGATCCCCTTTGCCGTCTACGTGGGATTTTTCAACAGCGTGTCCTCGCTGCTGAACCAGATCCTCGAACCGCACGGCTTCAGCGAAACCGACGCCGGCATCGCCGGCGGCATCCTCATCGTCGTCGGACTGATCAGCTCCGCCATCCTCTCCCCGATCACCGATCGCTGGAAGCACTACCTGTTCACCATCCGCACGCTGGTGCCCATCATCGCCGCCACCTACATCGGGTTCATCTTCGCCCCGGCCAGCCCCGCCGGCATCGCCCCTAGCTACATCGTCTGCGCCCTCCTCGGCGCCGCCTCCTTCGGCCTCCTCCCCGTCGCCCTCGAGTACCTCGTCGAGATCACCTACCCGTTCTCCCCGGAGATCGGCAGCACCATCTGCTGGACCGGCGGCCAGCTCCTGGGGGCTATTTTCATCCTGATTCAAGACGCCCTCAAGGCCAGCCCCACCGCCAACCCCCCGGGCCACATGCGCAATGCCCTCATCTTCTCCGCCGTCATCGCGGCAGTCGCCGCTCCCTTTCCTGTCTGTATCGGCCTCTTCGGTAGAGATGTCCGCCGTCGCCGATTTGACGTTGACTGTGGCACCGCGATCGACGATGACACCGAGCGCGGCGAGGCTGACTCGGCGCCTCAGCCGACGGCCCCGACGGAGTCGAAGTCCCGTCTCGACATCTGGACGAAGAATTGACCCTCTCTTTATCCCCGTCTTTTGCTTTCATGTCTGTGCCATGCGATTTTCATACCCATGATTGATTGTTTGTTTTGTTGCTCTTTTTAATGTTTATTTCGAGTTCGTCTAAGATGAACTGTATATGTCGACACGCGTATGATTGATGTACATACCTCCCCGCCCCCACTACACATATGTATGGAATTGCACAACATCTCCAATATTTTTAACCTCTACCAAGCACGCACTCCGCATCGGGCATTTTCTGTTGACAATGATAAGGGGCACGCACCCGCAATCCACCACCCGGTACAATCTAGTATTAGCGCCATACTAGCGTGCAGCTAGCACGGGATGCATATGCTCAGACCTTCAAATACACAATCAGGCATTCCACCGCAAGACAGACCATCGAACGCGACAATACTCATACGGAACTAAAAAAACCGAGGCAACGGCTGAAGAAAGATAAAGTAATCGTCGATGTACAACGCAGCTAACTCCGTTAAGGATATTCTGCTGAGGAAGTGTTAAATCGGCCACTTGAATCAGGCTATCAGCCCTAGCTGGCTCTAGCTCGGCTCTAACGATGACTTGGTCTGTCGGGACGAGTATGGATATTCTTAACTTGTATTTTACAAAACTTAAAATCCAGATGATCCAATATCCAGTGTACGGAGTATAGAATGTATGATATAGATGATATAAATAATATAATACAGTCAACGCTGCCTCATCCTATCAGTATCACCACTGCAAGCCTCCAAGCCTCATCTCGTCTATCAGCTCCACTGGGCGCCCACCCCGCATCGATCCTTGATAGGGGAGGATGTATACCATATTCCCGAGTAGGCATTGTATATACTGCAGACGATGGAGATATTTAGATTAGACCGGCCATGATCGGGTCGGCGGACGATGTCTAGTATTCATTCAATGACTGCCTGGTATTATTATATTATACTCTGTAATACTTGGACGCCTGACTACGGAGTCTTCCCCTGCATCCTGAATATCTCTTTCAAAGAGGTTAAGATCAACAGCGACTCAGCCCTGCTACTAAGTAATTTAGCTGACAATTACCTTGAGTGATTTTCTCTCGTTTCCCTTTCTCCGTTTTCACGATCGCATTCTCACATATCATCTCTTGCAGTCGTGAACACACCACCAGTGGTCCTCCCCACTTATACATCAATAATCACCACCAACAACCTCCAAAACACAACAAAAAGAAAAACCACAAGAAAAAAGGATTAACAAAAATAAAATAAAATGAGCAAATACGACCCCCCAAACGCAGGCTTCGCCCTCCGCGCCAAAGACTCCTGTCCCTCCGGCACAAACGCCTGCTACCAAACCTGGGGCGGCTTCGTCTCCTGCTGCCCCGACACCTCCCACTGCTACGAGTACCCGAATGGCGCGCCCAACTCGTTCTGCTGCCCCGGAAAGTCCAACTGCGGGGACATCATCACGCCGAAGCCGCACTGCGCGGACGCGTCGTGGACGATGTTCGAGAGCGACGGCATGTTCTGCTGCCTGGACGGCCAGTCGGGGTTCTGGACGGCTGAGAAGGGCCATAATGGCTCTGTGGGGTGTGCGGATGGGGATCCCGGGTCGAATTTGAGGACGTTGATTAATCCTGCGGAGCAGAGTGAGTTTTTTGCTTTTCTGACTTTCTGACTTTCTTGCTTTTTTGCTTTTCTCACTTATTTACCTTGGTACCATGGGTACTGCGGGTATCTTGAGTTATTACTGTACTAGGGACTAAGAAGCGCTAATACATGTATAACCACCACAGCTCTATTCTCCCCCTCGCCAACCCCCTCCCCATCAGAACCCTCCAAACCAGACGACCCCCCGCCAGCATCTCCGAACCCCTCTTCCCCGCCAGAAGGGTCCTCCAACAACACCGGCGCCATCGCGGGCGGCGTCGTCGGCGGCGTAGCCGGCCTAGCCCTAATCATAGTAGCTATCCTCTTCATGCTCCGCCGCCGCCGTCGCCAGAACGATATGCAGCAGCCCGACGGCGCGCCGCCCGGGTTCCAGCCTATTCCAACGGGTGGTGTGAACGAGGCGTCGATGAAGGGGTATCCGGGGCATGAGGGGCCGAGTGAGTTGGAGAGTACTAGTGCTGCGAAGAGGTATGAGTTGCCTGATGAGTCGAGGCCGAGTGAGTTGCCTTGATGGATTATTTCATTTATCCCTTTTTGTTTCCTTTTCATTTCTTTGGGGCGGGAATTCATGCTCCCTTTTTTATATTTTATCTTCTTGATTAGATGGTTTGTTTTCTTCGATTTTTGTACGGCTGGCTTGGCTGGACTTGCTTTTTATGGGTCATGATTGACTCTTTATGATACCATTATATATATTTTATATAATATGTAAATAATGTTTTTATTCTGCTGAAATTTCGATTGTTGATAGCGTGATAGACTTGAAATCTTGCAATGATCACTACCTATGTGCCTCCCTTCTTGCTTTGTTCTTACCTTATGTACGAGGATCAAAAACAGATGGATATATATGTACTCTGCCTACTACGCTCATGCTAGTCATCCCCCATAGATTGAAAGATAGATCCATCCAGTCAGCCAGTGGGGGAACAACAAATTAGACAAAGATCAGAGTAGTCGGGTCAGGGGGCTCAGATACACACAAGGCTGGATACATAGAAGAAGGGAACGACTCATTGGGAGAA